TCCCCCCCCCCCCCCACCGCCCGAGAAAAAAACACACACGCAACGAAATTTCCCTTCGCGCCGGGAAATCCGCTTAACACGTTGGCGAGGCCACGTGCAGACAGCAGGTGGCGCCAGGCAGCCGCCTGACTAACTCCGTCACACACAAACATCGACCTTTCGAAGCAACGAGACACCAGAAAACGTTTCTGTCCGTCCTGCGACGCCAGCTCAGATCTCGACACTCCTACCGACAGCCGTGCCTTCATCGCCCGGAACCTTGTTCTACAATCTGAACGTTTCGGTGGCTGAAGTGCACGGCGAGCAATCAGAACTGGCCGAAACGTCCTCGGCAACAATTTTCGTTCCCGACAACGAATGGCCTCTTTGTGGGGGGCTGATCAAACTCAGCTGTCACCGGCTACGGCATCAGAAAACACGCGACGTCTGAGCGTCGACAGCATTCGGCCGGCGGCGGGCGTCAGCTGTCGCACATGCCAGTGAAGACCCAGAACGTAAAACGGACGGACGGACCGCCCCCCGTTTGCTGATCTTCGTACAGAAAATTCAGTAAAATGTCCTTGCGGTCCACGAGCCGACATGAGTGGATGTGGCCTGGCCACGGTCTCGAGAGAAAGTTGAGAGTCTCTGGGTCGGTCTGGCGCACTTACGCCATTACGTGTGGGCTGGAAAGTCCAAGCAACTTACCAGCCACCATAAACGTCGGTTGAAAATATTCTAGCGTAGATCCGGTATGACCCGACAGTCAGGCAGTTATTGAAACGGTCTGCAGACAGACAGGAGTCGACTGATTCAAAGTATCGCCTTGCTGCTTTCTTACTCGGTACTGAGGAAAAACATGGGGATATAGAAACCAGGCATCAGGGACGCAAGGCTGCTCCTTCCAATTTCGAAGGGTCAGTTTAATCCAATCTGTCAAGAGAGAAAGAAAGCACTCCAGTATTTAGGACGGCTGAAAAGAGGCTGGGACTACATCGCCCAAACCAATTTACTGCTAATAGAATCTTCAGGTTTAACACAGTCAATATAACACCGCCACCACACTCCCCCCCCCCCCCCCCCCCCCAACAGCAATTCAAAGGGCGATATACAATAATTAGAGGCAAACTAGTAACATCGCGTTCGCCTAACGAGGGATGGCAAGTGCAGTGGGGCGAAGTGGCCCTGTGCCACTACACCAGTTTCTGGTCTTTTCGTAACAGTTTCTTCGGGCAGCGTTTTGTACAGATGGCGAAGTTCCGGGTTCATTCCGAACGGAATTACAGAAGCGATCATCACAAACCCTGACAGAAACGACGCACGGCGAGTCCGCTCGTGACAAATGAATTAGGTTTGGTCGATTCGAGCCTGTGGGTGCGTGGTGACGAAACGGATGGCTGACTTAAGCATTCTCCGCATAAAAAATTCCGAATAAATCAATAGATATAGCAGTCTCGCCGCGGCAGCTGACTGGCGCCAGCTTACAACACGTCGGCCCGCCCAGTCGCCCTGTCCACTGGCTCGCCCAAACTCGCTGCTTGAACGCTCGCGAGACTCATTGCACGGGCGAGCGACTGAGTAAATACTCTATTGTCCGCCAGCCACGAGAGTAGACGTGGCCTTGTGGCAGGGGGAAAAGTGGGTTCTGCGCATGCGCTGGTGATGTATTCCTTACCTAAGAAGATTGTGATATCAGTCAGTCCACGACGTGCGGGGTTTTCGGTCCGCTAGTAACAGAATTCTACCCCCAACTCCCTCAAAGATGTCAGGTCTACTCTCGTGGCTCGCGGACAGTACACGCGTCGCAGGAGCTGACCAACGATTCTGCGGTGCTTCCAGCCTCCTTCATCAGGGCGACGCCAGCTCGTTGGCTCTCGGCGGAGGAACCACGCAGACTGAGACGCTTCCGAAAACACGGAGCACCTGGACGTCGTCCTCGTGAAGCGAACTGTCTGTTGGTAGTTTAAAAGCCAACCGAGTTTCTTGTTTGAGAAATGCGTAATTATTTTTGCTAATGACATCTTCTTTCCCAAATCAGTTAGCAAGCTGACATGGTTATTCAGTCACAACTCATTACTAACCGCGGGCATTGACAGGGTCAGTGCATCACTAAGGCATCTTAGTACGTTAGTAACAGGCAAATTATCGATGATTTGGTGATTCGGCTCTTCGCCGACCACATCAGAGCCACTGACCGAGAGCTTCGACTCAAAGTTAGCTGGTGCCGACCGAGGGCAATCGAGGCGGACTTCCGCTCAGCAGGCCAGCCCTGAAAGACGGCCAAGTCGGCGCAACGAGTCGTCTGAGGACAAGTTGCCCGACGGGATAACCTCGAGGCTTTCCGCCACGCCAAAGTTCCCATTACACCCCCGTCTTAGTGCTGAGGCGTACACAGGAATGGTGTTACCTAGCAAGGGACGACGTCTTGCGCCTGCGCGGGACTAGGCACACGCTTGTCTTTTTGGTTGGTTGAACATCGTCGGACTGAGTGGCAAATCGTGAACGGCTCGTTCGTTCTGAACGAACTGCCGATCTGTTCGTCACATAAGTTCCTGCCCTCTGGGACGCTGCGGCGCGCAGTCTAGCAGATACTGACCGACGTTTCGGAGGAACTTCGTGTCCCCATCGTCAGTGCCACGAGTCCGTTAATGCCTACCAGACCACACGGCGCAACATCCCAGAAGAAGGCGCGTGAGCACCTGGAATCTCAGAGGCCAGCGTTCTTCTGCCTGCAGGCGTGCACCGGCCCACCGGTTATAGCCGTGTTGCACTACCACGTGCAAGCCCGACAAGTGGAAACGAGCAGGTGGCGATTATGAAGACGAGTTCCTTCCTGTATCTACAATATTTGTAGCGCTGGTCCTCAATCTGCGGATATCACTCCGCGGGCCACAGTTCTGACCCCAGACGCGGACGCGTATCAACAAATTCTTTCTACGCCGTCGTCCTTCTCCCCCTCGCACAACCAAAAACCCTCCTCACGAAACAAAAGCGTTGCTTATCGACTGCCGGTTTGCATTATCACAAAAAAGGGTTTGTTCTGCTGCCCGAGTGCTCCGATGTCCTAGTTCAGCGTCAGACAGAATTCTCTCTCTCTCTCTCTCGCCCCCTCTAGCACTGCGAGCAAAATGGAAACGACGTTCACAGCTGCGCTCTGAGGTTCGTTCATCAGGAACGCGACAGACCGACGCGGAAGGCAGCAGGTCCAGATCACCTCACCCCCTCACACCTGTAACCGCGTAGGGCTCCACTGTCCATCACCCAACTCGGGAAAGCAGAATTTATTGAGAAGCTCAGAGTCGGAGCCCTAAATTTGGCCTGAGTTGACATGCACGAACAAATCATCCCAAGTCTTACTCAGGCCCTACGACAAACCCTCCTCCACCTCGACGTACAGCAGGGAGCGGCAAACATTAACAAAGGCGACCGGAGACGCACCCTCCCGTCTCCCGAGTGGTCTCCCACGCGTGCTTCATACCTCGCCAATCTTTTCCTCTCCTTCAATATTCGATGAACACGAAAAGTTATGGGGGCGGTCAGGCCTCCTCTACTTGTTCCATCTGAGGTCCGTTTACCCTCTCGAGCGCTTTCTTCTGACTCTCGAGTACGGAATCGCAGAAGAATTCAGAAAACATAAACGGAACGGTTGGCCAACTTAACAGAGCCATGAAGTCCGTAAAACGAAGGAAGGGTCTCGAGACCCGGGGCGACGCTTACCTTCTCCGTTGGTGGTCAGGGACCCGGGGCACTGGCCTTCGCTAGGCGCTCGATCTGAAACAGAAGGAATCGACACTGAGTAAAACCTAGCCAGCCAAAACATTCACCACGCGAACCCCGCACTAGTTCCTGCCCACAATTTATGGCGCAAAGGACAACTTCAAGACAGAATCGAGTAAGCCTCAAGCTGACACGGGACACCACACTTCGCGGGTTAAATCGCATTAGCAGACAGAAAGCACCAAACACGAAGTCCTTACTCGTCCTGAAGATGGCTCTTCGGGCTAAACTAAAATGGTTTCAGAAAAGGGCGTTTAAACCGTTGCTTCTTTGACATTCAGCAACGTAACAAAGAATTCAATTTATAAAGCCACTCCCTGTTCGCATCTCTCAAAGCTCGTAACACCAAGATACGTACAAGTCAAAATATGGCCGCTGAAACCCGGGCGCCCTCGTGTTTTCACGGAACGTCGTGGTGAAAAAGCTGAAACGTGTGTTTGTTGCAGATTGCACGGGGTTTACGGGGAAAATCCGAATGTAACACAAACATGCCAATCGAAGAATAAATCAAAATCAATGGCCGCGAGGCTGGGGCAGACTCCGTGGGCGACATGGCAACAAGGAGCCGAGCGAGGAACAGACATTATTTAAAAACAATGACACAACACACAGCATCGCAATTGCACAGATTCAGTGGCATAATCTCAAGAACCTTGAACATTAAAACGCTACGAGAATGCTCGGAATTGTGCAAGCCAATGGCGAGAGCGGCTCGCTCTTCTGATATGGATCAGAAGTCAAGAGACGAATAGAGAATAACAACTGAAGCTGAGATCACAAGTAGGAACGATTCGAGAATGAGCATCACTTACAAACACTGATCCAGAGAGCCTCTTGGAAAGTTTCTTATTCATGTAATAAATACTAAAGTAATAGATTAATCGTGTCACTACACGACAGCCGACTGAATTTTACAAGAGATTCAACACAGATGATGGGTAGAAACTTCTTTGGCC